TCACTTAATCAGAACTGGCACTTGGAATGAACTGGTTCCCTACCACATTAGGCAGCAGGGAATCGCTAAATGCTTTACGATGGCTGGCATCTGCGGAGCTGTTCTCCCAGGCCTGGCCCTGCAGTTATCTATTCTGGAGTTAGTGCTGCGATCTGTGTGTTACGAAAATAGAATCCAAGGCCAAGAGAAGTTGGAAATAACTTTCTGAAATTCGAATCTGAAGCCTAGAATCCCCTGGATCACAGATTATTGTGCTAACCATCCACTCTACCACTTGAGGCCATTACGGCTGTGTTTTACTTTCACTTTTTCATCTCAAGTTTTGGAAGCGTGGTTTCCCAAGGTGAAGGTAAAGTAACCTCATTTGGTGGAGAACAAATGATGCAGGGTTTGGGGAAGCGAAGCCACTCCTTCCCTCTTGTCGCAGACCACAGGGCTCCTTCTGTTTTGGGAATTCCCAGCTAACTGCCTCAGGGAGGTGTACACCATGACATTGGCCATGCTGGTGCTCCAAGAGAATTCAATCAAATGATGAATTTGGCATCTTTATCTCAACCTGCTCTTCATTTTCTTCAAAGAGCTTTAGGATTGCATCTACCAGGGTTAGCAAACCTCTTGTATAGAGGGCAGGCCTGTGCACGTGTTCAGGTTTTGTGGCCATGTGGCTTCTATTGTGAGTACTCAGCTCTGCAGGGTCAGTGCAAAAACAATCATAACAATATGTAAACAAATGGCCGCGACTTTGTTCCAATAAACTTCATTTACAAAAACACGTGGCGGCTGGATTTTGCCCATGGGCCACGCTTATTGATTGCTGGCGTGCATTTGAGGCAGTGCGTAGAGTAAGCAATCTCTGTGACGGACTCTGGTGATCTCTGCTCCTTTGGATGGTGGCTGGACTCATGGAGTCATTCCTAACAATTCCAATCTGGTGGCAGTGCCAAGATGCTACTTCTATGAAGACCCAGGGTCCAGTTTGGGGGGTTCTCTCTCTCACTTTCCTGAGAGAAGCCAGCAGCCATGACTGGAGCTGCTCCACAGAGAGGCCCTCACGGTAAGGAACTGGAGGAGGGGTCTGGCAACAGATCGCAAGCAACGCAGCCCTCACTCTCATATCCTGCAGGACCTCACCTCTGCCAGCAGCTGACTTTAGAGAAGTGACGCCCGTCCTGTGCAGCTTCCGGGTGGCACTGCAGCCCTAGCTGACAGCTTGACTTTGGCTTCACGGCTGACCTTGGTCCAGAAGGCCCAGCTGGGCCGTCCCTGTTGTCTACGACCCCCAGAGAGGAACCATTGTTGGTTGTTTTCAGGCCCTAAGTTTTGGAGGTGACTTGTTGAGCAACAGTGGGTAACTTACATAGTAAGGAACAGCACAAGTGATAGAAGAGATTTGGAGAACTGTCTTGTGGCCCTAGTGTTTTGACCAATTTGCTCTGTGAACGTAGGCTGGCTGTTGAACTGGTCTGGCCTTCCATTTCTCCATTTGCCTACAAAAGGGATGGGAATCATGGAATCCTGAGGTTATTACAAATTTTAGTCTTTTCAGATCCTTGGGTCAGGCTGAGTCCTGCATCTAATCCAGAGTCATTCACAGGACACTGGTGGGTGCCCATCAACATATTTTGGTAATCATTGTCAACATTTAAAAGACTAAATATTTTGCATAAAAATCTAGATTTCAACTTTGGCTTTCTTCAGAAAAATATAATGATTCAACCACAAGGACTTACATTTCCACATGATAACACGAGTGATCAGCAAAACATCTCTGGCCTTTCTATAGATGAAAGCCTCAACACCCTGATTGCTCTCTCTCTCTGGCTCTGGTGGACTTCAGGGGGCACTTAAATGATGCTTGACGTTACCTTGAGATCGCAGACAGAGCAACGCTGCTCTTTACCATCTGGTTGTATCCTGGAGCCAGGGCAGGGGCAATTTTGGCTCAATGTGCCTTGTGTAAAATGCTGCTATCATAAGATCTCAACCCACAGATTCTGCTACACTGATCCAGGGAAGTCTAGCTCGGAGCCTGGGCAGGACATACAGTCAGTGTGCTTGCGACAT